CCCCCCCCCCCCCCGCCCCAATCATTTTGCATTACCGGCAATGTTTGAACAAAATTGACCATTTCACCTCACATTTCAGAGGAAGAAGAGAAAATGGGCTGCTTCTCTCCTCAATTTGATGCTTATACATGTGGATCAAAAGTTGCTTTTGATCACCTTGGGAGATCACCGTGCTGCACTATTAAAAGTCCAGTTTCCAACTCATGCAACCTAGAATCCTTTGAATGTATGGAGCAATCAGGGTCTACTACAACACATAAAAGAGATGAATGTACAGCCGTATATCCTGTGCATGCTTCTACCAGAATACCTGAAGTTGTTGGGACTCCTGATGAAGGAAAAAAACTACCTCAGAATGAGCACAATCAGCAACAGAAAATATTAATTGCAGATGTTACATGTACAATGTGCAATCAGCTTCTCTTTCATCCTGTTGTTCTTAATTGTGGTCACGGTAGGTACTTGATGAACTAAAGATTTTTAATTTTTCAACAAATTAAGGTCATCAATTGCAGAAAACATAATTGACATATATGTATTTCACACTTTTTTCTAATCTCTACAGTTTGCTGTGAGACTTGTTTGATCAACATAGCTGAAGTGATCCTTAAATGCCAAGTTTGTAAAAGTCCACATCCAAGAGGTTCACCAAAAGTTTGTTTGGCACTTGATCACTTTTTGGAGGAGCAATTTCCAGATGAATATGCACAGCGAAGGAATGCAATGCAACTTAACCGAATCAAAGTTGAACTTGAGACCACATCTTGTATGTATCCTTGCCTACTAATTATCTTTACCTCTAAGACTCTGCTAGAATATCTTCTATGCCAATGGTTTGGCATGTTTGATATGTTAAAGCTAGAAGAATTAAAACTAGAAGAAAAATAATAGAAATCTATAGCAACAAAGAATGTTTTATAGAAATTTTTCCCTATAAGAATTAATTTTCTGATGATTTCCATAGATCAAATCCCATGATCCTGTTTGCTTTCCTTTATTATCAACAATTTCAAATCAGTATCCAACAGTATTTCACTATGAATGGTTGATTACACGGCAGGGTTATTAATAGGGTTTTAGGTGAATAGCTGTACACTAATTTAGGTCTATGTTAGGATAAGGAACCCAATTACGAAAGTGTATTATAGAAGAAATAAGAGGCAACCAGGGACTTGTGCCCATGGACCAGTGTAACATGCATTTAGTTAGACAGTAGTTATGTGATATAAATAAGGGAAAAAATACTCTGTATTCAGTTTTGGATAAATTAATATTTGGGGGTTTCGGAAAGTGAATTTGAGTTCAACTCAACCCTACAAAATTGACTTGTAAGGTAAGGGTTACCTCCACTTATATACTTTTTAATTGCTTTATCTCTAGTAAATGTGAGACTTGGATTTTTTTTAATATACTCCCTCATATCCAACACTATTGGGTTTGATACGTGAAAAAATGATATGTGACCCCCTTTTTAATGATCTAGGATAGGCGGGAATTGAGTTTGATGAGTGACCCTTTTAAGTGGATCTAGATAGCTCTGTTACCAAGTAATTTAGAGAAGAAAAAGATCTTTATTTTTGTACATTGATCAGAATTACATGAGGGATTATATAGACAAAGATGATTAGAAGAAGTCCTAATCACCCTAATTATAAAATAAATGTAAAGATAAGATAAAGAGAAGAAAATAAAGGAGAATCAAATGAGATTTGAATAATCTAATATAGATCTTGTCTAACTAAATCTCCTACAATAAAAGAGAATTAAATCAAATCCGAGTATGCCTGATTTTGATCTTAACTGCCAAAATTTACAATTAAATAAAAAATATATTCAGCTGCCAACACCCCCGTCCCTCAAGTTGGTGCATAGATGTCTAACATTTGCAACTTGTTGACAAAGAATTCCAAATTAGGTCTAAACAGTCCTTTTTTAAGAATGTTTGCCACTTGCTATGGAGAAGGAACAAATGGCATGCAGATGTGGCCTGCATCCACCTTCTCTTTTTATAAAATGTCTGTCAATTTCTACATGCTTGGTTTGATCATGTTGAATTGGATTGAATTACTAATTGTAGCCTTGTTGTCACAATACAAATTCATGGGTAGAGTCATAGGAAGTTGCAACTCTTCTAGAATTCCTTTAAGCCATAAAATTTCACAAACTCCTTGTGCCATTGCCCTATATTCAGCCTATGCACTACTTCTAGCCACAACATTTTGTGTTTTGCTTCTCCAAGTAATCAAATTTCCTCAAACAAATGTACAATAGCCAGATGTTGACTTTCGATCTGTAAGGGGTCCAGCGCAGTCCACATCAGTGAACACTTCTATTCCTTGCTGCCCAGTTTTCTTAAAAAATAGCCCTCTTCCTGAAGCACTTTTTAAATCCCTCAAGATCCTATAAAATGCCTCAAGGTGTTCTTCATGTATTGAGTGCATGAATTAACTCACTAAACTTACTGCAAAGGCTATGTCTGGTCAAGTATGAGATAGATAAATCAATCTTCCCACTAATCTTTGGTATCAAGTTGTATTAACTAGATCACCTTTCTCTTCACTTCCATGTTTTTTTTAGGATCTATAGGAGTTTCAGCTGGCCTGCAACCCATCATCACAGTTTCTTTAAGAAGATCTAAAATATACTTTCTTTGTGACACAACAATTCCTTTCTTTGATCTTGCTACCTCCATTCCCAAAAAATATTTTAAGGATTCAAGGTCTTTAATCTCAAACTCAGTTGCAAGAGAATCTTTCAACTTATTTATTTCATTAAAATCAACTCTAGTAATCACAATGTCATCAACATAAACAATTGAAACAATCATTTCTCCTACAGAAGAATCTTTTACAAACATTGTATGGTCACTTTGGCACTGAACAAATCTTTGCTTCTTAACGAACTGGGGAAATTTCTCAAATCAAGCTCTAGGTGCCTGTTTCAATCCATGGAGAGACTTTTGAAGTCTACATACTTGACAAATTCAACTATAGTTTGAACAGGTTGGACAGAATTAGAAAAATTGTTACCTGATGGTTCAGTGGATTCATGGCACTCTTGAGGATCATTTGGCTCTATTCTTTAAGGTTTTTTCTTTCTAGAATAAACAAGATCAAAGGGTTCTACACCCTTGTTTTGCATGAAATCCTCTTACTCCTAATTAGCTAAGCCATCCAAAGAAAAGAATTAGGTGTGCATTTATACAACCATTCTTTCATATTCTTACCATCAAACCTAGGAAAATCCACCTGAGATGTGAGTAGAGTTGGTGTTGCAGGGACCGCCGTTACTACTAGCGGAGAAATTATCGTTGTTTTTCTAGGTGGCTCAAGCCCGTAATAAGCTCTTCTTCCATACCTGCATCCAGCTGATCTAAACAAGCCATATTTGTCTTGATTTGCTCTAGTCAAGCTTTAAACTCTTCTTATTTCTTCTCGAGCTCAGTCATCGTAACCTGACTTTGAGTCAAAACAGCCATTGCCGATGAACTACCCAGGTCTTTGATACCAATTGGATTCTATTTGGATATTCAGGAATTTTACCAAGAATAATAGCTCAGAACAGGAATTCCAATGTCATAATGGCCTCTGTTGTAAGGAGTAGAAATATTTGTGTCTAGAGAATAATCATAGAAGAAGATAGATTTTTACTGAATGATATAGTAATGATTTCATTGGCCACCAGGCTCTAATAATACCCAAGTACCAAGTTGGTTACAATTGCCTAATAACAAAAGGCATATTCTAACAAACTTTATGACACCTCAGCTTGGGCATGACCAAAACATATGTTCACAATTCACTAGTCATCATCTCTTACATAAACCTAGGAATGAAATAAAAAGCATATACTATGTATTGTTAGGTGTCACAAATATGCTGTGACAAGGTGATTTTGTTTAATGCTGGAAATCTGGAATAAATCTCCTAAAATAAAGATCTTGTCACCAACAGAAAATTATTTAACAGTGGGCTTGTAATATGTAGTTTGAGGTTTCTTTGATACATTTTTTCTGTTTTTTTGGTGTTTCTTCTAGCCCTAGTTACTGTGTAATGTCTGCTTTCAGGTTCATTGCATAATAATCAACAAGAAAAGATGGCATGGCGGTCTGACTCCAGATTGAAAATTCATATTGGAGTTGGTTGTGATTTTTGTGGGGTAAAGCCTTTTGTCTTCATCACAGCTTGTATTTTCGTTACTTTTTCTGTTTTCTTTTTCTGTCTAGTCAGGGTTGGGGAGGGTGCAAATGACTGTGCTTAAATGTTAAAATCAGTGTTTCATTAACTCAGATAGGTGATGATCATTTTGTGTGGCTGCTTGTCTTTGTTTACTGCTATGTTTGACTTATTATCCATATTTGGTCCTATGATCCGATGTCCAGAAAGGGAGTTATACATATCCTGTTGTGGCTGTAACCTTATGGTTTGAACCTATACTTGTAAGTTACAATACTTATATTCAGCATGGTTTGAGAGGAACAGACACATATAAACAATGTTTTTAGAGATATTTATCTCAAAATGGATTTAAATATTTTAATTTTTTTCAGGTTTATTTAATGTTTTCACTTGAAAGTCGCATTGTTTTCAAAGCCTGATCCCCCCGCCCCCCAACAACATATTATTAGTGTTTTTTCATTTCTCTGCTGTCCATATTAGCTTTTAGCAAAGGGGAGGACTAGGTGCTAATATTGATTTTCACAAATGTTTGGTTTGTTGCTTAAATCTAGAGAAATAATTATATCTTTTCCCAAAATTTTTCTTAAAAAGATTAAAAAAATTATTACAATGAAAATGCCTTATCCCACTAGACAAGGTTGGTTACATGGATATTTTTTTTAATTAACTTCCTTCAAGTTCCTTAGTCTCCCATTGCCCTTCTTTTGAAAAAAAAGAGAGTGCATATTTCCTCAAAAAGAGATGGACCCAGACCCACCAATAATCACATTTACTTTTGTTTTCTTTCTAGTTTTTAATATTGGTCAAAGTTGCAGCATTTATCATGCTTAGTTTTCTACAGTGTATTCATGTTTGTGGCTTGTCTTGGCAGATGTATCCAATAATGGGGGATAGATATAGATGCCTTGACTGCAAGGAGGAGATTGGTTTTGATATCTGCAATGATTGCTATAAGAATCCCCCAAAGCGTCCTGGTCGATTTAATCAGCAGCACACCCCTGAACACAAGTTCGAGCTTATACGACCAAATTTGATAGTTAGGGAACAGTTGATTGATCAAGAGCGGCCAGAAAATTTTGTAAACAGAGCCGATGATTCTGCTTTGTCAGATGATGAAGATGACCAAAATGACTCTGAAGCCACCAATTGAAAAACTGAAATTTCAAAGTCCCATTATCTTTATGGGGTTACTTCATGGTAACATGACAGGATCCAATGATTCTTGTGAGTTTGCAATCCAGATGAGTTGGGAATTCTCAAATCCTCGAGGCCCAAGTGAATTTTATAACTCAGGCAAATGGGTATTTATTTTGATATCCAAATTGTAACTGAACTAGTGGGTAGACCATGCAATGCATGGACAATAGAATTCTATTAATGTTTGATTTACTTGAAAATATTTATAATTTATAAATATTAAATAAATTATTTAAATATCTAATAAATTGTAATGGTTGTGTTATCTATAAATATAGTAATTAAGACATTTTTAACTATAGTTTAATGTTCATAATTTATTTTTTTAAAAAAAGTTTTAAATATATTAGAGATATGAATTGTAAAAATATATTACAATCAAACAATTTTTCTCATTCACTATAATTTATTATATTTTTTTTATTAAAATATTAGAATATTTGTTAAACAAGTTGAAAATAAATATTAAAATTATAAATATCCTTTCAAATATTGCTATTTATTGTTTATTATCCCTTGAAAAACTTTGCAATATATCAATTACAGCGCGACAAAAATAAGTTGACAAATAATATTTTTTATAATCAATTAAAGATCACAGATAAAAGTTAGTTAATAATAATTAAGAAATTCTTCGTTCACTTTAGTTTAACGTTCATAATTTATCCACATATTTTTTGTTTAAATAATTAACAATAAAGATTAAAAAGTTTACGAAACTGAGAATAAGAACTAAAAGAATATATTTTAAATTGTAAGGACTAAAAAGAACTGAAAAAAAAAATATAAGGATTAAAAGGATTTATTTCAAAGTATATGGCCTAAAAGGTAAATCGCACCACCCACTGAACGATGCTCCATATTGTTCACCGACACAAACCCTAAATCACCATGTAAAATCTTCGACCAACACCTTCAAAGTGAATATCATATAATACACAAAGATAAGGATCGAAAACAATTTAAAAGTGAAAACTCAAAAATCGAGTAGGAAGATGTAGAACTACGAAAATAAGATATGGAATTGGTTACGAACGTGAAAACCACACAAAAGGGGTACAATATCAAATTTGCATTTAAAAATTCAGCACAAAATCAAGGAAAGGATTTAAGAAATCAAGAAAAAAGCAATGTCCAAAGAAAGGAAACATTTCATTGATACTATTTCCTTTCGGTAAACAAAAAAATGCCAAATAAGTCCCCAAACTGTTTACAATAACTTTAAAAACACTTGATTATATGTTGTATTTGATTAGTTCACTCATTGATCACATTGTAAAAAACAAAAATCATCATAATTCCAATAAACCACTTACTTAGAAGGTACACGGTAAATTTTGCCCGAAATTTAAGTGTTGCACTTTCTATCGAATCTTGATTTTTTGTATTGCACATTGACTTGGCTGTAGCTTATTTTTTGTAGCTTTTCTTCTTCTTCTTCTTCTTCTTCTTCTTCTTCTTCTTCTTCTTCTTCTTTATTTTTCATATTCGTCTTCTTCTTTCATTCTCTTCTTCTATTTCTTCCTCTATGGAAGGCTAATATGTAACATTCTCGAACTCAGTATTAACACACCATTGAGGTTTGTTCATTTCAATGTATCTTCGTGTTCTAATCCTTCTTGTCTCAATGCTTAATGGTTTCTTGTTCAACTGGATTGAATGGCTCTGCTCATGGTTTGCGTAATCCCATGAATAAAGATAGGAATGTATGCTAATGCTTCATTTGTATACATTTGATAATGGTAATAACGCTTAGTGATTATTAGAAAATGAACCAAGGTTTAGATCAATAAGAGATAATATTTCGAACCAATGAAATGGGTGTTGAGACTGAGTTGGAGAATGTACTGTTTATTGAATCACTGTTTCATTGTTTTATTTAAATCTGAAACCCCCCAGGTTGTGTTTGTTTGGTTGTATTACACGAACTTTGGGTTGGCTTGTTGCTCCTTGAGAGACGACCTAGGAGTCACTTCCTAGTACTACAAATTCCATAATTTATTTGATCGGGTATGACACCGATCAATAAACGAAAGATTTTCTTCTAAACAAAATGAGATATTTGCAAAATGTTTCATATCAAACAAAGTGTGAAATATAAATCATCGATAAGATGAAGAAAATCAGACAAAACATACAGTCTGACTCATTATGCATTAATTATAATGTTTTAAATGAAACCAACATTAAATTTCATTAAATGATTTATTCCTTCACAGATCGAACAAGAAAGATGTCTTGGAACCTTCAAGATCTATTAAAGAAGGAAAAGTTAAATTATCCGCAAGTAGCAAAAGGCAAAATCTCTGATATCACAGAAAAGACTCTACAAAGAACTGTTCTACACTGACTTTAACTGTTCTATGCTAACATTACTTCTGTTATGCTTATTCTATAAAGAAATGGTGATAAGTAGTGTAACGATCCACCGTAGCCGTCACACTACGAAACAACACTACACATTACTGGAATATATATACTAGAATATTATAATAAAATATTTATGACACAAGTTGCTAATCAAGCGACCAACAGCAACCAGTTATATACAACCAAATATGCTACTATAAGATAGCCTACAAAAAAAATATCCATCTCCAGGCACCTCCTGTGGCCTCTAGCAGCTATCTCCCAGCCTATCCCTGCCCTGCTCCCATATAACGTATGATCATCGCAGTTCAAACCATATGGAAACATGCAAGTGTAAGCTAGAGACAATAAGCAACTCATAAATATAAAATATGAAACACAACAACTATATAATTATCTTCACATCCGACACAAAAGATAAACAACACATATACTATACATCTTAACATCGTTTCAACTTATATTCAACATATCGACACTGATCAATACTTCAACACAACTACTGTACAAACCATTTGAAATAGTTACCATATTCATCATAACAACAACCAACACATTTATTACACATCTCTCAACAAAACATGTTTAAAAGCAACTTACAAGATAACAATACTATCATCATCCTCAACAGGATCAACATACAACACAATCACAACTTAACAACACAACAACATATATACAACTCTTATCAACAACAAATCAACTCATCAAAAACTTATGTGTCATCTTGCATTTCAACTCGGAGATCTCCTACAACTGGTGAGTAGTCTAAGTGGTTAGGTCCTACCGAAACGACAACATAGAACCTTTTTGGGCTTGCTAGGTAAACAACAAATTTGGATAGAAATCCACAACATGATAATGATTTCTCAGACTTTGCCACTGTAGACCCCTAAAATTGTCCGGGTCGAAAATAAACCTTGAAGACTCTTGAGGACTGAAGGAAAGTCAGCCAGAAGGACTCATGGAAGGCCCTAGGAGGATTCTCTGTAGGTCTAGAGGTCTTGTAATAAGCTCAAAATAAGGAAGTGGAGGGAATGAAGCCCAATACGGCCTCCCAAAAGTTCAGTACGGCCGTATTGAACATTTTGAACTACAATACGGCCGCACTGAACTCAATACGACCGGATTGAAGTTCACTACGGCCGCACTGAACTCAATACGGCCGTATTGA